ATATCACGAACAGTCTACCTATTACCAGGCAGAAGCTACCATATCACGAACTGTCTACCTATTACCAGGCAGAAGCTACCATATCACGAACAGTCTACCTATTACCAGGCAGAAGCTACCATATCACGAACTGTCTACCTATTACCAGGCAGAAGCTATTATATCACGAACAGTCTACCTATTACCAGGCAGAAGCTACCATATCACGAACTGTCTACCTACGACCAGGCAGAAGCTACCATATCACGAACTGTCTACCTATTACCAGGCAGAAGCTACAATATCACGAACTGTCTACCTACGACCAGGCGAAAGCTACCATATTACGAACATAACTATCGATAATGACAGGAGTAAATAAACACAAATTTGTGATTATTTACTCCTGATAACAATAAGAGGAACAAGAAATGCTCATATATTTGCTGCACCCGATTGCCGAATGGTTATTTAGCTTCAGATGAGCGATTTCAAAACATTAAAGTCACAGCGAAAATAGTGCTCTGCAAGTTTCTGTTGTCAGCGACGCCACCCTGACACCATATTAATAGATTTATAGAATCAGTTCTTGTTCTGCGCTTACAGAACATAATCAAGCTCAATACTTGCAAAAATCTTGTATTATATATAATTAAATCAATACCTACAGAACACAATCAAGTTCAATACTTACAAAACACTTGCAAAATCTTATATAATAAATAATTAAATCAATACTTACAGAACACGATCAGCTCGTTCTCGATCCGGTACGGCGGCCATATTTGCCTCAACTCATCGTCTCGCAGCAACTCGACTGCCTGGTTGTTGCCCTGGCAACGGTACACGCCGTTGTCGCTATGGCGGGTGTTGATGATGCGTAGTCGGCTGATGGTGCTGGGGATCTCCCCCGGATACTGAGGACCATTCTCAGCTTTGATCGTGATGCGCGAATCGTCCTACAGGAGGCGGGCAAAGCGTTAAAACTGTGTTTCCTTGGCAAAAAAGTTGTCATAAATGTTTGTGGACGCACTACCGGGTTTTGATCACCACATAAAAAGGTTCCAAAAATGCCGCGTTTAGCACAAAGCGGCTCGTGACGTGATGTGATGAATATAGTTAACATAACCCACAACATAATAATCCAAAAGTTGCACCGCACATTCAACATTCGTTCAAATTTAAACGAGGCTATAACTTTGACCAGCCCTATGCGTGCGTGTGCGTGTGTGCATGCGTGCGTGCGTGCATGTGTGCGCGTGCATGTGCGCATGTGTGTGCGTGCATGCGTGTGCATGCGTGCGGGCACGCGGACTCACCGGCTGGGTGCCTCCACGTACGGCTTGTCCTTGCCGATCCGATGCATTTGTGCATTCGTGCGTGCGTGCGTGCGTGCATGTGTGTGTGCGTGCGTGTGCGTGGGTGTGAGCGTGTGTGCATGCGTGCGTGTGCGTGCGGACTCACCGGCTGGGTGCCCTCCACGTACGGATCAGATGGGGATCACTCTGATAAAGGTGTGGTAAAGATTAGGGGGTCAAAATATAAAGTATAGGTAAAACATATTAAATTATGAGGAAAAATGATTTTGGTTCAGTGACACAGGCATACACGCACATACACACTCGCACACAATTATACACAGTAAACGACATACACACAATAAAAATGCCACTTGTAGAATAATAAAAGCTAATCTGGAATAGAGTTGTAGTGTACACACTAACAGTGAATTCAGCTACGCAATATCATTACACAGATACGAAAAAAGTATATATTACATATTATACATATATATACATATACATATAAGGTGTATAACAAAAACGAGTTCGCAATAGTTATAGATATGAGTATAGCAATAGTTAGTATATAAACAGTTCATGCATGTAGTAGTGAAACCTTTTTATTAAAGAAGAGAATGACGAGAGATAAAGAGATAAAGAGAAAGAGGGACGAGAGAGGGATCATACATACTCCTTGAACAGTGCTATTTGAAAAAGAAGAAAATCAAAAATGGAATCACAGTGCGAATTAATGTTAGCATGCCATGACACTCCAATTTTCCAAACGCAAGAGTGAGAGAGAGAGAGAGCGAGAAAGAGGGAGGGGGAGCGAGAGAGAGAGAGGAGGGAGATAAAGAGAGAGAGAGAGAGAGAAACAGACAGACAGAGAGAGGTACAGACAGCTCCCCCATGCTGAGGAACCTTGCATGCAGTCTTACTCTGCCGCAGTACGCTCCTCTTCCGCTTGCTCTGGCTGCTTCTCTTGCAGGTCTATCCCTAGATTCTCTTGCCCCATATCGCTGATAGAAGTCTGACCACTGTGGCGATAGCGATATTGCGAAGGCAACAAGACAGAGATTAGCTGAGCAACTAAACACAGCAACAACACAAATAGCAACAGTGAAAACTCACTTTTGCAACTCAAAATGAGCAGCGGGATAAAAATTTGTGCCAATGCTCAGGTTTTCAAAACGCGTTTTCCGATGCAACCTGCCACAAAGAATTTTTAGTCAAAATATTCAGTATTTTGTATTGTTAGGATTAGGGTTTGTTAGAGTTTGTTACACAATTCCAAATACCTCACAAAAACAGTAATTAAATTTTGCTCCAAGTACATTTAAATATGAGAAAAAATGGTTTAAAAAGATTTATTATTGTGGCATAAGATGAAGTTAAAAACAAATAGATAGTTGGGCAGGTATAAAAACACGTGAAGCTTAATTATTATGATTAGTAGCAATATTATCTTTTGAATTAACAAGGTGACATGTTTCCTTCCGAAATGTGTGGGGAAAATTTTAAAATGGTCCCAAAAACCTATAGAAAACAAAAGTGATTTTGCACTATGCCTTGTACAGATGTATGAAAAATTGAAACAAACAGACAGACACACACACATAGACAGACCGATAGATAGATTTTCTATATATCTTCATACATCTATTCACAGACAGGTAAAGCTTAGCAGACACGTAGTAGCAAGGCACAAACAGAATTCGATAATGATCATCACTACATATTATTGCAACGAGTCACAACAACAATGTTAATCACATCGCAACCGTTTATCATTGCTAATTAGGGATACATCATCAGAGGCATCCGCCATTCCAGGACTTAACATATTTATACTTACATAAAATATTATAACAAAATAAATACATGCATGTCTATATACATATATATGTAAATACATACACAGACAGATAGAATTAAAACTTAATTAATTAGCAGCTGATGTGCATTACTACGCTCTACTAAAGGATTGTAATCAACTACTAAAGTGCCTGTTATTGCGCTGGCACCAGTAACCATGTCATTTAGACATAAACACTTTTAAAGTTTACTTTTCAACCTTAGCAACAACCCCTTCCAAAGTTATCTACGTGTTTACAACTAGATCTTGCCATTTTGCACAAAGTACTGTGTCCTTAAAATACACCTTAATGTAACCTTACTACTCTAAATTGTGAAGACAGGATATATCTACCATGCAACAGAACCATTGCCAGAAAAGTTGTAACAATACAACGTGCACTATATACACCGCATAGACTTTTTCATAGTCCTCGGTCATTCCCATATAAAGTTTTAAACTTGACACAAAATTACCCAACTTCAAGAAAAACGTACAAATTTGGCAGGTAGTTTCACACTGTTTAAAATAGATGGTGAAAAATAATTACTGATTTAGAGAACCAATCCAATTTTATGAATACACTGGCCCTCATATTCAACTTGGTAAAACCCATGATTATCTGTAAACGATGGAGTGAAAAGGCCTATAGACATGCACACCTATTATTGTCCCCACATATCTCAGACAATTCTCTACCCGAGAAAAAGAGACGAAGTGGGCAAGTGACATCCAACGAGTAGGCAAAGGGGAAGTGATAAAATTGAGAAACATTCTAATGCATTGAGATATAGGACTGGACTGCAATACGACCCAGAGATATATTCATGCCGAAGAAAAACCACCAATCACCACATGCTCCATAGATGGTGATAACGTAACATATGGTAATATTCTCACTCTATTTCCTGATGATCCATAAACAAGTCGGATCCCTGCGTCACACTGTAAGCATCACGCATAGCCATGAGTCTGCTACGTCTCCACCAGGACAGACATTTTAATCGGACACTACTGGACACTCTAATCAGCATCTTTTATTTATAAACTACCCCTAGTTGGGCTCATCTCACGTTTAGGTATTAAATGAATTCCCATACCCCACAGACGATTCCGAACCGTTGTTAATTCAGCCAATGACCTCCCTTGGAACGTCATTATAAAGAAACCTACTGTTTTCAGTTTCCCATTGGGTCACATCTAGACACGTAATTTACACCTAGCACCTACAATTATGTGTTATGTGCAATACCGTAGAAGCTGGATAGAGCCTAGTGTGAGCTAATTAACTTTAACGTCATTATATTAATTTATTTTTTTACATATTATATTTAACATCCGATATCACTGATGATCTGGCCGATATTTAATTGTTTCTAAGATCCTTCTAAGGTTATTCTAAGATCCTTTTAACATCTTTCTAATATTCTTCTAAGATCATTCAAAGATTCTTCTAAGACCCTTCTAAGATTCTTTTAAGATTCTGCATAGATCCTCCTAAGATCCTTCTAAGACCCTTTTAAGATTCTTCTAAGGTCATTCCAAGATCCTTCTAAGACCCTTCTAAGATTCTTTTAAGATTCTGCATAGATCCTCCTAAGATCCTTCTAAGACCCTTTTAAGATTCTTCTAAGGTCATTCCAAGATCGGTCTCCTAAGATTCCTTGTAAATCCTAGCCAAAGATCCTTACTTAAGCATCCCAAGCTACCACAGACTCGACGCGCCCCCCACTTCACTCCTCCCACCCCCACACCTCGCCACTCACCTTCTTTCGAGACACGGCCTTCGATGTCAAACTCCTCGGGGTTGTCTCTGCCGCACGCGTCTGACGAAGCAGTAGAAGATGAATCCGCAGTTCAGAACATGCAGAGCAAGCAGGTCGACGACCAACGGCGATGACGAGCACGACAGACGATGATGATGGCCGATGATGCCGCCCCGAGCTGAGGCCGTACGACGTACTCCGTGTAACGTGGTTGTCACCTACCATACAAAGCAATATATAATATATCCACATATCCACCCACAACTCTCTCTCTCTCTTCTCTCTCAAATCTATTCTCTCTCAAAACTCTCTACCTCTCTCTCTCTCTCTCATCTCTCTAATCTCTCCTCTCGTCTCGTCTTCTCTCTCTCTTCTCTCTCTCTCCTCTCCCATCCTCGTCTCTCTCTTCTTCTCTCTCCTCAGTCTCTC